TGATGCCTCCCCTCCGCGCCCCCAGGAGGAGGAGACGCTGTCCTTCATCCGAGACAGCCTGGAGAAGAGCGACCAGCTCACCAGGAACATGGTGAGTAACCCTCAGCTGGGAGGGGCTGCAGGCCTCAGACCCCGCAGGAGAGTGAGTCCGGTCCGGTCCGGTCCGTAAGGCCGAGGGTTCTGGCCTGGGTAGGAATGGTATTGGGTGGGTTTCTCCGGCAGCAGTGTGGCGGGCGTGTCCCTTACCTCGTTGCCTTCCCCTGGTCCGCCTGCTCCCTGAGGATGCTGCTGCCCCGCTGGCCTGGGCTTGGTCTTCTCTCCACGCCCTCCCCTTCGTCTCCTGCAAACGCAGTGAGGCTGACTTGGGTGGGCTGGGGACGGTCGTGTGTCATCCTCACTTCAGGCGACGGGCGGAGGGCAGGGGTGGCACTTCTGAGGCTGCTGAGGGCAGACAAGACTCAGCCATCTCCCTCCCCCGGGGCTCTGGGGTAGGATGAGCTCTGAAATCGGACAGATCCGGGATCTAGTCCTCACCCTCCACTTGTGTGTGTGTGGCTCCTGGCAGGTAACTGAGCCTCAGTTAACTCAGATGACAAGACAGGGACAATGCCACCCTCCCCCTGTGGCTGTGAAGGTCATAGGAGCCAATCCATGGGGACCCATCTTGCACAGCACCTGGTATACAGTAGGTGCTCCACAAATGTGAGGTTTCTTCTTTATTTCCAGAGGGGACTGTCAAGCACAGGTTGAGGAGATACAAGCTTGGTGTATGCATGGAGTAACACAGTCATGAAGTCAAAGTACCGTGGTTGGCAAACTGCGGCTCGCGAGCCACATGCGGCTCTTTGGCCCCTTGAGTGTGGCTCTTCCTCAGCCTTAGGAGCACCCTCATTAAGTTAATAACAGTGTACCTACCTATATAGTTTAAGTTTAAAAAATGTGGCTCTCAAAAGAAATTTCAATCGTTGTCCTGTTGATATTTGGCTCTGTTGACTAATGAGTTTGCGGCCACTGTCCTAGCCCTTATGTGGTGAGATTCACCCTTAGCGAGAGAGGCTTTTGCAAGTGCCCACGATGCATTTGAGGCGACTCCATATGCAACTACGCCCTGTTCGGTCTAGGAAAGCCTCAGGAAGACCAGACATTGAGATTTGGCTTCAAAGGGTGGAAGGGAAACCGTCCGGGTGCTTATCGTGGGGGAAGGTCCTTTGTTGCTTGCCTTGCCTTCGAACCAAATTTCATCCAGTGTGTTTGGACACCTCCTATGTGCTGAGGACACAGGGGTGAACAGCTGCACCCCCGGCCCTTCCCTCATGGAGCTCATTGTCTAGAAAACCAGAGAAAAAGCAGCCAAGGCCAGAGACCCGGTAGTGCCTGGAAGCCTGAGAGCACGTGTCCCCCCCCCCCAGGTGTCCATCCTGTCGTCCTTTGAGAGCCGCCTGATGAAGCTGGAGAACTCCATCATCCCCGTGCACAAGCAGACGGAGAACCTGCAGCGGCTGCAGGAGAACGTGGAGAAGACTCTGTCCTGCCTGGACCACGTCATCAGCTACTACCATGTGGCCAGTGACACTGAGAAGGTCATCAGGGAGGGGTGAGCTAGGCCAGGAGGTCACGTTCTTTTCATTGTTTTTTGTTTTTTTTATTGACTTTTTCTTTTATTTTTTGTTAATTTATTGTTGATATTCTTGATGCCTCCTGGCCCAGCGGCGTAGAAGGGGAAGGGGGCAGAATGTATTTGAGCCTGGAGTCCCCGGTATTAATTCTCTTCTTCCCCCTTCCGCATGGGTCCTGCTCTTCCTCTTCCATCCAGCCAGGCTGACACAGCTCTGTTCCTTCCCAGCCCCACAGGAAGGCTGGACGAGTACCTGGGGAGCATGGCCAAGATTCAGAAGGCTGTGGAGTATTTCCAGGACAACAGCCCAGACAGCCCAGAGCTCAACAAAGTGGTAAGGGGCCAGCAGGGTTAGCGGGGAGGTGTGGGGACATCAGTCCCTGCCTGGTCTCATGAGAGACTGAACCAGCTTAAAGGAGAATGTAGTGGAATAAACACAGTACTAATATAGTTCACATACTGTGGTCCTGAAGTACTCTACCTCAGGAATCACATTTAAAAAAATTTTTTTCTTATTGATTTCAGAGAGGAAGGGAGAGGAAGAGGGAGATAGAAACATCAATGATGAGAGAGAATCATTGATCAGTTGCCTCCTGCACACCCCACACTGGGGATCCAGCCCACAACCCGGGCATGTGCCCTTGACCGGAATCGAACCTGGGACCTTTCAGTCTGTAGGTCGATGCTCTGTCCACTGAGCCAACCGTCTAGGGCTACAGATATACTTTTTTTCTTTTTTTTTCAAATATGGAACGCTTCATGAATTTGTGTGTCATCCTTGTGCAGGGGGCACGCTAATCTCCTCTGTAAGCTGCCAAAGCGAGCACCAGATATACATTTTTATTGCATTTGCATAACTTAACAAGTTTATAAATTACTTATACAATATAAAATTTTTTAAAATATATTTTATTGATTTTTTACAGAGAGGAAGGGAAAGGGATAGAGAGCTAGAAACATCAATGAGAGAGAAACATCGATCAGCTGCCCCCTGCACGCCCCCTACACAGCAGCATGTGCTCCCTACTGGGGATGTGCCCACAACCAAGGTACATGCCCTTGACTGGAATCCAACCTGGGACCCTTGAGTCCGCAGGCCAACGCTCTATCCACTGAGCCAAACCAGTCAGGGCAACAATATAAATTTAACATTTGATTTTTACAAATGCATTTGGGGTTTTCTTATTGTGGTAAAAAGTACATAATATAAAACTTGTCAATCTCACTATTTTTATTAAAAATTTATTTTTATATTACCGTTGACATGCAGTCTTATTAGTTTCAGGTGTAGTGATTAGACATTTATGTACCTTATGAAGTGATCCCTCTTATAAGTCTAGTACCTGCTTGACACCACACGTAGTTATTACGATATGTTGATTGTATTCCCTGTGCTGTATTTGACATCCCTGTGACTGAATAAACACCAATTTCTACTTGGTAACCCCTAACCTTTTCCCTCTATCCCTCCAACTCCCCTCCCATCTGGCGACCACCAATTTGTTCTCTGCACCTGAGCGTTTATTTCTGTTTCGTTTGTTTGTTTATTTTGTTTTTTAGATCCCACATATAAGTGAAACCATGGGGTATTTGTCTTTCTTTGTCTGATGTATTTCATGATTTTGTATGAACATGTTTCCAATTCTCTTATATGTTCTGGATACCTGTCCTTTATCAGATATATGATTTGCAAATAATTTCATTCTGTGGGTTTTTTTTGATGGTATCATTTACAGCACAAAAGCTTTTAATGTGACAGTTCAGTTGATCTAGTTCAGTGATGGCGAACCTTTTGAGCTCAGCGTGTC